TTCTCTTCTCTTCTCTTCTCTTCTCTTCTCTTCTCTTCTCTTCTCTTCTCTTCTCTTCTCTCCTTTCCTTTCTTCCTTCTCAGGTGTTTATCTGCTGCACCAAATATAACTGAGATACCCAGGACTTGCATCTGATCTATATTATCTATACTCTGATACTTAATCCAGAAAATTTAGACCCTAATCTGTATCTTCATKTAATTCCTTTCAAGCTACCATAATTACTAGATTCCTGAAGTTTTTATTTTTCCTATTTTTAAGTTTACTGAGAGCCTTTCTTAGACACATGAGCAGGGAGAGGGGTAGGGAAAAGCAGTGAGGTGATCACAAATGTCTTCCTTGCCTATCAAATATCATTCAAGTGTAACTACAATTCAGCTGTAAATGTGCAGGCACAGAGTCTTCCCCTCCTCCAGACCAGTCCTACAGTTACCTCTGCAATGCCCCATTAGCATAAACTATTAAAGTCATTTTATATGATAAAGACTTTTTGCTGAATAATTAACTATCAGGATGATTTAAAATACTTTTCAATGCCCCCAGGGACAAACTGTTGCTGAGATTCGGCCTCTAAACAGTAATGAATTTGCATCCAATTCATTTTATATGAAAATAAACAGGAATCTCCCATGAGTTTGTTTCGCTGCAGATTGGATCTCACCTTAAACATGTGAAATCTCAACCACAGGTTTTGTTTTGTTGTGCTTTATTCCAACGTCCTTTCTAATGATATCGTTATTTCACAAACTGTTGCTGGCAAAAAAGATGACACAAGGCATGAACTTTGTGCATCCAATGAAAACAAAAGGTAACAAGTGCTTTATATGTAAATTATTGTGTTTTTCTAATACTTTCAGAAGGGGAAGAAAACTCATGCCAGAGTCAGAAATATTAAAATGCAGTTTCTCTGTCCTCTGACCACTTCCCAAGCCCAGTCCTMTTCAGCCAGTCCCTGCTCCTTGAGCTTCCAGTCACTCACTTCACCAATGGTCACTTTTCCCAGACCAACCCCCAAATTTCTTGAACAGCCACTTCAGGCTTCTTCAAGAAGACARTAACCTAAGCAAACASAGGGAGCAARGTGCAACCAGGTGYTGTTGAGCTTATACTYAAATATATATTATTTATTTCTTAAATATATATCTATATTACAGTAAAATATTTAGTYTTGAATAGTAACAAAGTGAACCATTCTCATATATCAACATCTGATGAAATWTCCTGAGCCAGCCCATCCCCAAACCTCAGCTACTTGAAAATGAGTCAGTGYTTCTGGCTGATTCCCAAGCCTCTGAGAGTGCTCCATCTTGCCCCAGATATATTTAATTTGTCAAGATATTTCTGTGKGCAGGGCTCACTTCAAACATAATATATTTCAAACTCAGACTTTCAGGAAAAGTTTCAAGCTCCTACAAATAATGTAGAATGACAATATAATTCAATCTGAAATGTATAGAYGTCATCCTGAGTTCTCTATGGGTAGATTCCTCACATATATTATACCAAGATAAGTGTCAAGATAAAACTAAAAATAGGTTGATTATTTTAAGATTTTCAGAATTTTGGCTTTTCTTAGTTCATCATCACATGATTGCAGTTTGCTGGACGCTGTTTTGAAGAAGGCTAAGAATGTCTGTGTGCACGTGGTAAAAACACCTGCAGATCTCCAGAGCACAACATTTTGGTGAGAATATTTCTGAGCAAGACAAAGTGTCAGGTGAACTATGGTTTTGGCAGAATAAGATATTTTGCTCATCCGATTAAAATTTTCTGAGGAAAATTGCTCTCATGAGATTCTGTGTTTGACAGCCTGTGAAAATGCATCTTGAGGGATGAGGAGATTGAAGTAATGGTGCTGCACATCTCACAAGTGGCATTGGCTGTCTCCTCTTTCCCCACTCCAATTTGATCAGCAGACCACTGGCCACGGATGCTGTGCCTTCTTCTGCCAAAGATTTTCTGTTGGATTGTTCCTGTAGTAGATCCACAAGTTCCTTAATGAGGTCAGGGAGTTCTCATTTAGCCTTGCCTAAAATACATGTTGTGCACCTCATTTTGCTTGATTAAAAGAGAGAATAAATTATTTATTCAATATTGGCATATATATGGAGGTTACTAATAAATTCTGTTTATGAGTGTTTATACACTCTCCTGGAACAGCATTGGCTGTGGTGGGAGAGTGAATCTATTTGATGCTGTGAAATGCACGTTGCTCGTGTAAAACCTGAGCTGCAGAGAACTGACATGGCAGAGCCTGTTAAGAAATGCCATAACTAATAATAATCATGGAGGTGAAGAACTCAGCCCTTCAGACATCATTGCTCAATGAATATCCAACCAAGAGCATATGTAGGCAGTGGCAGAAAGTTTCCCAAGGCCAACTTCCAACAAATTACATTAGGGCCTTGCAAGGTGATTTTAACCTTCAAATCAACAGATTTCACCCAAAAGGGATTCGTGTTGTGACAAGACAGATAACTGCTGCATGGTTGAAAGGCAAATTGGGAAACCTCGTATTTCTACTTAGAATGAAATTCAGAATATTAGTAATGCTAATGTTTAGGCAACATTTCTAACAGAGGTGTCTTAACAAAAACACTGATTTTCAGATAATTGCATTGTTCTGAAATGCTAGATGGGACTGACTAACATTTTGGTGGTTCACTAATGTCTCATGAAAGYGCTTGAGGTTTTTTCATTTAAAATAGAATTTTAAAATATTTCTGGAAGTGTTCCATACTGTTTGCGAGATAGGGGATCTTATCAGTTCTCACAGAGACTGAAGTCTAATTTCCCACAGTGTTTGTAAAATGACATTCAAAATGTAGGGACCCTACATGTTTCGCCTCACTGGTGAGGAACATCACCAGTTTGAACCCTAAGTGGAGAATTAATTAATTTTATCTTAGTTCTGTGGTAGTGTTTTATATTGAATGGCTTCCATGTTCTTTGAGATAATTAATAATGACACATCCTACRGTGCTTTGTCTGAGATACCAGTCTGGTCTTGCATTACAGTCTGCTCCCTCCACATCACTTATCATTTACTCAGATCTTCCCCTCTTCCTGACAGTCCTGAGGAGCCTGCTTGCATTTCAAGGCCATGTTTGGAATTGTCCCCCTGTGTTTTTAACCTTCTCTGGCCCTGCATTACCCTTCTAGCCTTCCTTCTTCTCTGGTCCATAATAATTCCTTTCATCTCTCAAGCAATAGACTTCTCCCTCATGCTCACATTCCCTCTCTGAMTGATGGCAAAGCCTTCTTCATTTCCTGCTCTTCCTTGGCACSTGCAGCTTTCTCTTGTCATCTATCAAGTTTCAAGTTAGCTGAGAATCTTGGGCTTTATTTCATGACTCTTATTTCACTGTATGTCACCTTTATGGCATGCTTCAAAGGTATTATCCCAGGTGATCTGGAAAGACTCAGGGAGCACTTGTTGATGGTACAATTTTTTTGAGCCTGCCCCTTCAATG